GAAAAATGGAAAATGTCCCCTCCTAGAAAATATTCATACCCTTTTTCTTAGTAATTCCACTTTTAGAAGCTTACTGAAAGGAAAGAAACAGGGAAACACAAAAATCTATGTTCATGATAATAGTAAAAAATTTAAAAGAATCTAAATGAACAACAATAGGGCTTGGTTAAATATAACGTGATATCTCCAAAAGATGATGTTATACCGGTATCAAAAATGTCATTGTTGAAGAAATATAATGAAATAGCAAAGTGCATTCACTATAATCTTAAATGGAAAAAGCAAAAGTTAAACAATATAATTCTACTTTAATTATATATAAGCATGTATGTATGTATACATATATATCTCAATTATACACATAGGTGCATAGTAAAAATGAAAGAAGAGAACAAAATGTTAACTGATTATTTTTGGCTGATGGAGATTTATGGATGCTTATTTATTATTTTATTCTTTATATATTGTTCTGTTTTCCAAATTATCTTGAATAAACATGTTACTTTTATAATCAGAGAAGAATTACTAAACTCTTTTTCCAGTAGATAGCTGGGTTATAATTATTTTGCTTTATTTTTTGTCAGGGTGAAGAAGTAATTTTTAAAATTTTATAATTTCATAGAGTTTTTTACATGCTTTATATTTATTATGTGGTTTTAAAAGACTTCTTATTTACTTTCATTGTTATAAAAAAGTCACAAGGCCATAGCTAATATCTATTTAAAGATTTCAGTACAATTGCGGTTCTTTTATAAATCTTCTGCCTCTTGTGGCTTAGAAATTACCTTATTAAAAAACTCTTGAAAACCTTTGAGTTAATACCATAGATTCCAATTCCTAGGGAAAGTGATTTGAAGGCAACAGTAATTTCATTTGGAGAGGATATGGGTTTAGGTAAAAGGTAATGTCTTCCTATTTAAACATTTTAAATGTAAAAGGCCATTTATTTTCCTTTAAAATAACATTTTAAAAGCTTTTTATTTATTTTGAAGTCTTTTGGGTAGAAACCATTACTTTCTTCTTATTTTGTATTAGTGCAATCTCATTTTTCAATAACTTATTTGCTACTTCCACTTTTTTTGTGTGAATGCTAAGTGTATGTTGACATTTTTATTATAATAATAGCATAGGAATAACTATGATTTTTTTGAGCACTTTTGAGACTTAGGGCTTATTTATTCCCCTCCACAAATAGGACCTGAGAGAAAAATTAAGTACCTATAAAACTGGAGCTAAAGTGGACCTTCAGGTTTGTTCTGTCCAACCTCTGGACTTCATCCCCTTTTGCTCGAGAACTTCTGGAAACAGGGAACTCACAATTTCACTGACTTAAACCATTTTGGTTAAGTTTTTCTACTTGTTGGAAAGTTTCTCTCTCGTATTAAATGGTCATGTGCTCCTTAGAATATTTACTCACTGGTCCTAGTTTTGTGCTTGGCACATAGAAGGCATTCAATATATGTTAGTCAGTGAGTCAGTGAGTAAACAAGGGAATAAATGAATACCACTTAATTAAGATTACAGTTCTTGAGGGAACCTAAAGGATGACCCAGCTTGAAAGCAGCCACTTGTTTCATCTTGGATTTCCGCTCATTGTCAGGAAATTGTATTCCTGTTTCTGAAGTCTATGGAAATGACTTCTCTGACCATCTGATTGAAGTTTTTGCAAGGGGTACCTTGGAAAAGTCCTGCCAACCTTGTCATTGTGTCACACATATGGAACAGGGAATGGGGAAGACATGGCCAACGCCTGGGGTCATTTTTCTTTTATTATTTTTAGGATTTTCAAGGAAGTGTGTGTTCTGTTGAAAACCAGGAGTTCTGATATGTCTAGCTTTCTATTTCTTTGCTCATTCTTTTATGTTCTTTCTATGGTTTATGACATATGGACTGATATAGCCCTTATGAACTTTTTGCAACCTGTCCCATATTATTTGTGTATCTGTCTTATCCTCTCCACCCCTACCACAAAAGTGATATATTTCTTAGGGACAGGGATGCTGTTTTATTCATCTTTCGAGGCATGTGTTTAATAGGTGACCAGGAAATATTTGTTGAATCAATGTCTTTTTATTATTTGAAAACTCAGGTATTACACCTCATTTCCCCATTTTAGCCATAAAAATTTGAATTTTTCTGAATTGAGCATCCCTTTCCTCTTTCCGTCTCTCAATTTTTAGTCATATTCTTTCTTCTGGATTATTTCTAAGTTCCTACTTTAGTTGTGGAGCACAGAAAAAAATGATAATTGAATAAAGATTTGATCAGCATTGTTTCGGTTCTTACTATTCTTTCTCATTCTACTCTCATGTGTTCTTTTTAAATTTCCTCATTCGTAAAATGAGAGTAAGATACATATCTCAAAGGGCTAATAAAATAACATATGTAAACGCATGTAAATCACATAACTGTTTCCTAAACTCTTTTCACTCAGAATGCTTTCTTCTGATGTCTAATTTCTTTTCTGTGTAACGTTTTTCTCTGTATATTACATCTAATGTTAAATTCAAAGTTGGTAAATTGAAATACTTAGTACAGTGGGATATCCGTTTTGGAGAATTATGATTAATTATTTAAAATTGTACTTTATAGAAAATACCTAAATGAGATGTTTTTGCCAAAATAATTTTTAAAGGATAAGTTAACAAACGTGTTTCAGAATATCTTGTCAAGATGTAATTCCAGAAAGTGTCATTCTATTTCGAATGGACTTCATATTTGAGTTTTTAGTAGGTTTTATGCTGTATTAAAATTGTGTATTACAGTCTTGAAAATATGTACAGTATATATTATGAGCCACACCTTGATGTCTATTGTAACTTTAATTTTGTTTTTATATCTGAGAGTTATTGTCTTTTTTAATTCAATAGCCCTTTCTATGAGTGGTTGAAAATGAGAATATTTGGAATCATAATTCAATAGCTAGCAGTATGGTTCCTTGTATAATAGGATAAATGATACAAATTCAGGGATTGGATTTTTAATCTTTATGCAAATTTTATTTTTATTGTAATGTGCTTTCTTGTACCTGTTCCTGCCACAAGCTGGAGTGGAGGGAACAAGTGACAGAAGGCTTATTAAAGGAAATGATACATAAGCTGAGATCTGAAAGTTGAATAAGATTTATCCAGATAAATTGGGGATAAGGATGTTGAGGGTGGAAGTGGGTTGTATTGTTATAATTAATGTTTGATCATGAATAAGGTACCAAATGTATTTTAAGTCTTGTGTCTAAGAGAACTATTTACAGTAAAGAAAAGAATTGAAAATAAGCCAGTAAATGGAATTAGTTTTGGGGGTATTTCATGCGATTTGTTAAGTGTACTCTTTTATTCTTGAAAATCTGTTTCTATATATTTAGTAAACTAGGCCTTATACATTTCACATAGCTCTATATTTCTTCTATAGGTGAATTTTTTTTTCTGTTCATTCATTGCTTAGGCCATTGTATCAAAATTTTAAAAAATGCTTGCAACGTTATTTAGAGTAGAAATGTGTTCAGTTATTGAGACTCTATTATGTGCTAGGCAAAGTGTGATGTGTGCCAGGATAGGTGATGGAAGGGGTGCAGGACCAGGTAAGAGAAGGCTTAATAGAGAGAAAGACCTGAAAGGTGAATAAGATATATCCAGATAAAGTAGGAATAAGTCTGTTGGGGATAAGAGTAGAGCATGGAGAGTATATTTCAGATAAAGAGAGTAATGTATTTAAATATATCTGTTAAAGAGTAAGCTATGCATAATGATAACTATGGTAAAAGCTATCAATTATTGAATGATTATTGTTACCATTATTATGTCACTGTTCAAAGCACTTTACATCTTTAATCTTTATAACAACCACATAAAGGAGCTATTATTATTATTCTACTTTTATTGAGTGGTTTTAACTGTCCTTTATAAATAATGTAATATATACTTCTCTCCTCTATACTTCTCTCCTTTTCTCTTCATTTGGTCTAAATTTTGCAGCTTTGGTATTATTTTATTTTGGTTTCAGTGAGTCAGAAGTGGCGTGTAGACATATTTAGTAAAAAGACCAAAAAAATTATGGCATTTTACCTTGGCATTAGAAAGAATAGTTTACTAAAATATAGTATATGGATAATCAATCTATGATTAACTATTAAAATTAACATATTATTTCAAGTTTACAAGAAATATAGGGGATAGAGAAGAAGGTAATCAATACTGCGAAAAAACGGTAAGACAAATCCAGAATTGTGACACATTCTAAAAGATAACTGGCCTAGACTCCTCAAAAAAGTCAATAGCATGAAAAAGAAAAGGACAAAGAGACTCTAGATTAAGCTTCACTGAAAGAGACATAACAACCAAATGTAATGTAATACAAGAATTTTTAGTGGATCTACGATTTAAAAAACTATAAAAGACAATTTGGGGACAGCTGGAAAATTTTGAATATGGACTAAATAATTGATGATATGAAACCTTATTGTTAATTTTCTTAGGTGTGATAGTGGTATTGTGGTTATGTAGGAGAAGGTTCTTATTCTTAAAACATTCATGCTGAAGTACTTAGGGGTGAAATGTCATGTTTGGAAAAGTTACAATATAATAATTTCTGTAAAATTTTATTTTTTACTAGGTCATTAATGGGATGCCTGGCTATCAAACATTTATAAAATGCTTAAATTTAATTACCTTTTATTATCTACTATTTTTCCTTAAAATGTTTATCTAGAATGTAAATTCTAGAATGACCATATGACTTGCTGATTTATTTTTTATCTATCCTCATTGCCATCCCCCACTAGAACATCAGTTCTATGAGGACTGACACTTTCTGTTATTCACGGCTTGATACAGAGCACTAAGGATAGTATCTGGCACATAGTAGACAGTAATCAATATTTGTTGAGTAAACTAATGAATGAAGATTACCAATCTCACCATTTCTATATAACTCATAATATCTTTTTTTAATCAGTTTTGGTATTGGTAGCCAGAAACAATAATAGATTGTTCCTTATGTTTCAGGGAAGTTGGGAAAAAAGAATTTTGAAGAGTTTAAATAGTATGTGCACTGAGCTGAGTATCCCATTGGCACGAAAGGTACTTTTCACACTTAAGTATTTTATTACAAATCAAGTACTAGAAAGTTTCATGAAGTTATAACTGCTAGGCAGATTTATCTTTTTTTTTACTAGTATATCAGTTTGTTTTGAAACAAAAATCTGTAAAAGGCCAATTATATGGGTGTATTCTGTATAGATTTCTATTATGCATGTTGTAATGCTTTTTGTAATAAACTTGTATCTTGAGAATAAATAGAAATAAAGTATAAAATCTACAGTATAGATTATTTAGAGATTTGGCTGTAAAAGTTATGTGTACTTTAAAGATTTTAATTACCTTTAGTCTCCTTGCTTTTTGGTTTATAGTCACAATAGCCATATTTCTTGAATTAGAGATGGAGTTCAGGCATAGTGTCATCTTGTAATAGCCAATAGGGTACCATCTTTCAGTATTAACATAGGGAGTGAAAAGAATGATGTGTTGTCTCTCTGCAGAACTATTTAGATCTCATAGTACTGGATCTATTTAGCTCCTATACACAGCATTTATCTGTCACTCTGTGCTTTGAGAGAGGAGAGATGAAAAAAGAGAGAAAAAACACTTGAGGAATGTTCTGGATTCTTTATTGCTGCTCACGAGTAGGAGAGAGCAAGTTTCTCTTCACTTCATTCTCCCTACCTACTATTTATTCCCTGCTGTTGGACAGGATATAGTGGATGCATTTTGGATAATATCCAAGAACAAGTCACTGCAGGCCAGAAGAATGGTGTAAAAAAAGGATAAGTTTATATGAAAAACTGTCTAAATACGTAGTATTGTGTAATATACTGTCTTTCATATAGGAAGATGATGCTACTGACTCACAGTCACACTCTTTTGGCCAGTCCCCCTTGCGATGCGTTTCTGAGATTGCTGAATGGGGTGAGAGATGTAGTATGTGGCTGAGGAGCAGTTTTTCTTTGTGAAATTTACTGGCCAGTACCGATCATTTACCTTCTTTTCTTGGACTCATTAGCAGCATATTCTAACTGAGCCATTGTAAGTGTAATTCCAAAAAAAATTCATCATGTGTAGGAAATTATTTTTCCTTATGTTACAGTAGCTTACTTAAACTTTTAGATAAGTTATTGATTCTTATTTTTCAGCTGCATGCTAAACTTCACAAAATGAAACCAATTTTAAAATTACCTTTTTTAGAGGCCAGTTGGAGAACAGAAAGAACTTCTCAATAAATGGAATGAAATGGGAACTGATGAACCAGGTATTTTAAAATGTGATAGTGGGAAAAAAAATTGCCTTCTTAATTGTGTATTCAAAATAATACTGACATTTCTTTCGGAAAGATAGCAAGTTTCTCTCCCCACTAAGTTACTATCATCTGTTTTATTTGCTTAAACTTCTACTTTGCAGTTTAAAAATTCCTAACTATCGTCAATGTTCTCCATTATTTTGAGAATATTTAAATCAGTTATTCTTTTTCTAAAGCAGCATTTGAAAATATTTTTATAAAAGAGTAAATTAAATCATTCACTGGATTTCTTAGACTCATAATTAAGGTAAATATTTTTCAAGCTTTAATTACATTGAGATGTTAAAAATAGGTTAAATGGTGAAGAGATTTAAGACTTCTAAAATGTTTTTAAGAATTTATTTTGGTTCATTTTAATGTTTAAAGTTGAGTCAATCAATTTTATAAACATATAATGAATGACAGCTATGTATCATTTACTATGATAAATAGATGTATATAATTGTATAGGTAGACATGTACATAATCCCTCACCACTCTTCCTTAAAAAAAAGTTTGGGGGACTAGGCAAGAAATAAGTGCCATAATAAAGGAAACAGTGTGTTATAGAAGTTCAAAAACAGTTCAATACAACTGGAGGAATTCACTAAGATTGCATTGTTTATATTCTACGTACTTTGAGAATTCTGATATAGAATTTTTATGTTATATTGACTTTTTTTCACTTCAATTATAAATAATCTATTACAAATTTATGAAAGGGAGACTCTTAATTTTTTCTAGAATATCTCATCTAAGCTGTCAAGGGGAGAGACTGTCTTTTCATTTTCGTGTTCCCAATACTTAATACAACATATGACAGATAACCGATACTCTGCAAATGTTTGAATTAATCTAGCTGCACAGCAATGTATGAAAGGATCATTAACATTTATCATTAATAAGCATTCATATAATATATTAACTGAAATTTTGTTTTAACCTATCTTGTTAATTCTAGATTTAAGCCTTTTCAGACCTGTTTATGCACCTAAGGATTTTCTTGAGGTAGGTTCTATTGGATAAATATATGTATATTAATGAGGGAAAAATGTGAAAGAAATGACGATATAAGAATATCTCCAGGTGGAGGGATCACCATATAAAAAGCCCCAGAGCCACTGAAGCAGTGGAGTGACATGATCAGATTTGTGTTTGGAAATTGCTCTTGGAAAATACACTGAAGTATGGAAAGATTAGAGGCAATAAATCAATTAGGAAGATTTTGATTAAAAAATAGTGACTATAAATCATGTAGCCTGCTGCCTGGCACATGTAGGTGCTCGGTGAATCTTTTCCTTTTTTATTTCCCTCCCTGTTCTAGTAGTCTAGGCAAGACATGATAAAGATCTGAACTAAGAGAACAGCATTGGAAATGGAAAGAATTCAACAGATTTGAAAGAGGTTTTAAGAAGGGTTTGGGAACTGATTATATATGGGGAGTATGAGAAAAAGAAAAGATAAAGATGACCTTTACGTGTCTAAATTGGGTAATTGGGCAGAGGTAACTTGCCTTTGAGATAGAGAATACAGGAGGAGGAACAGGTCCATTAGTGAAGATGATGAGCTTAATTAAGTTGGAGAGGCATATGGAGCATTCAAGTGAAACTCTTCAGTAGGCAGTTAGAACTCACTAATTATTTTAATTTACCCATCTTTGATTCCACTCTTTTTCTTGTACCTTACATGTAATCCATCAGCAAATCCTGTCAGCTTTACCTTCAAAATATATCCAGAATCCATCCACTTCTTATCACCACCACTCCTACCTCCCTGGTCCAAGTTACCATCTCTTGAGTAGACTATTTCAGTAGCCTCCTAACTGGTCTTCCTGCTTCTACCCTTGCCCACCTAGAATCTGTTGTTAGTGCAGTTTCCAGAGGAAGCCCTATAAGTACAATTCTGAATAAGCCACTTTTCTGGTATCCAGTAGCTTCCCATCTCATTCTACTTAAAAGCCAAAGTCATGACAGTGGCCTAAAATACCCTATTTGATCTGATACCCCATTACCTCTGTGAGTTCATCTCTCATTACTTTTCCTCCTGATTTGTTCTACTTTTGCTTTCCCTTGGCTCCCACCCATCTGAGGGCCTTTGCTCCTTATTTTCTCTGCCTGCATTACTTTTTCCCTAGATAGCTGTCTACACGTTCCCTCACTCCTTATGTCTTTGCTTAAATGTCACTTTCTCAACAAAGCCTTTCCTGGCGCCCCTGCTTGGAAAGCTGTTTTCTACTCTTCTTCTCGCCATAGCATTTATCATTATATAATATACTATTTTTCTATTTCACTTATTGCCTGCCTTCTCCTATTAGATGGAAGCTCCACAAAGGCAGGAGCTTCTCATTCTGTTTTGTTCACTGCTGCAACAATTACTCAGAGTCAGATAATGGAAAAGACTCAAAAGACTTCACAGGATACGCTTGCATAAGGCTTTCTTTCAGCAAGCAGAGGAAAGCACATGCAAATACAAAGAGATCCAAACTTCCAGGCATAGCTCCCAGGGCCCTTTCTCAGTTGCACAGAATGCACTTTGTCTTTGGGTTATGAACCACCAAGATGCAAGTAAGATACTTTTGTCTTGGGAGTCAAGGCACAAGTTTTCCAAGGGATCTTTTATACCCCCACTGGTAAATCAGGTGCAATCCAGCAATCTGTACATTTTTAATAAAAAATGTAAATAAAGTGATATCGAGTGCCTTCAGGGGACATTACATAGCACATTATAAATGACTCATTACTACATTCCATTCCATCTTGGCCAGGGATCATTCCCAGACATCCAGGTATCACACCCTGGAGATAAGCATAGAGCCTGCGGCAAACCAGCTGCAAGTTAATCCTATCCTTATGTGGTCTGTCTCCAACAGGTAGAGCAGTGCTTAGCACATAGCTGCTTAATAAATAGGTGTTGAATGAATGAGTAAATGAATGAATGAATCTTTCACATTTTATTTTTCTTTTCTGAACCTATTGTCTCTGATACCAGTTTGACAGCATAAAACATTGTTATAAATTATTTCAGGTCTTTTGGAGTTGTAAATAGTCTCCTTTTAACTTTAGAGAGAAGTTAGTTTAGTCAGAAACTGCCTTTATGGTAATGGTATTCTTTCTCTTAGCTTATTAAAGGTTTCTCCCAAACTCTTTCCTTTTCTAGGACATAAGGGCTGAAATTTCATAAAATTTGTATATGGTTATCTTTATGTTTTCTCCTTAATAGTCGTAACATTCTATTTCCTTCAGGACTGTTGCTGAATTGATCCTTTTATTATTCATGCTGAGATTCTTTAACTCAAGAATATTTTCTATAATTATTTCCTTGGTTATAGTTTCTGCATTTCTAATATTTTCTCTTTTCTATTACCCATGTAATCATAATTTCTTTTCCTCTTCTTTTCTGTATTTGTGAGTTTCCCATGCAGTGTGATCCCTTATTTGTGTAATTAGGCTAAAATTGTGTTGTTCTATATTAGTCTGTATTTAATACTGTTGATTCTTTGCTAAATCTTTTATTTTTTAAAGCAAATACCATTGATATTTTTAGTTTCAATTTAGTATTTGCAATTTTAGGAAACTCTTTTGGCATTACAGTACATTCCATTTTATTAGCCATTAGTTATTAGTTCATTAATGCTTCAGATATGATAGTGTTTCTGTCATTATCGTCTCCTTTACTGGATTCTTGATGGTTTTATGCCCTCAAGAGTTTCAATTTAAAAATATTTTTTAAAATTATTATTATTCTTCCCCCCAAAATGCATGTTAATTATTAGAAAAATAAGAAAACATACATAAGAAGAAAATTTAAAACAAAAATTACTCATAATACCATCATACAGCAATAAACACTATCATTACTATGCTTTTTTTAATTTAATATATTGTGAACATTTTTTCATGTCATTACCTATATTAATTGAGGCATATTCCACTGTATTTTACTATATTAATTAACCATAATTTAAGTAATTCCCTCTAAAGGGATGTTTAAGTTGTGTTATCTTTTTCTGTTATAAATAGTACTTCACTAATGTTCTTTCTGCACTGTCTTTGCGAACATCTTTAGTTATTTCCATAATTATACTCATAGAAGTGAGATCCCTAGCTTAAAGCCTGTGCAAATATCTAAGACTTCTCCTGTCTGCTTAATTTTGAAAGTATATACATGGTCTTTCTTATTAGCTTTGCTTCTGAAATTTGTTTTTCTTGTGGGTTTGGTTTAGAGGCTGCACCCTGTAATGTTATTCTACTGTCTTTTCTAAAAATCTTGTCAATATTGGTGAAGAGTTAGAGTTGGTTCTAAAATTTTCCCTGGTAAATATTACAATCAAGCAATTTTAATTTTTCTGTCTCCTTCCCTGATAAAATATTATAATCAATTTTTATTTTTTCTTACCATCAAAAAGTTTTCTTTCTAACTAAATTCTTAATGTTTTAGAGTTGTATATGGTAGATCATCAGTTGGAATATTAAACCATCCTAATTAAAAGCATGTTTATGGTATTTTAATATTTCAATACAATTTTATAGTATTTTAGAGTATAATTAAGGTATATGCATAACCTCAAATAGTTTTTAATGTTGTGGTGATACACCAATATCACTGCCAATTTTATAAGTATAAACATCCTATAAAGAAACTAACCAAAGAATTTGTTGGATTTGTTTTTTAAGGTATTAATTAATCTTCGCAACCCGAATTATGAAAATGGTGATTCTCTTAGTTTCAGGACTCATTTGGGTTTAATCCAAGTTCCTCTGAAAGTAAAAGACATCCCTGAATTGGTAAGTATAAACATCTAAAAATAACATACTTTAGAAGACAGCCATTAGAAAAATATTTTACTACAGCATATATCTAGAGCAATAGGACAATCTGCTCATTAAATAAATAAAATGAAAAGTTTCTTTTTTATTGTAAATATATTATACAGAGAGTGAATTGCTTTGCTAGTAGAACTAAAGATAAGCTTGTATTGACCTATAAATGCTTATTCCTCATTTTAGTAAACAGCATAGATTTATGAGACAGCTTGTTGGGATTCAGGTGCCCGATGTACGGCTATAAAACTGAAACAAATTGTGAATTTTATATATAAAATTTTTTGAGAATGTGCATTTTATTTAATTCAACCAGCCTTTATTAAGTGTGTAACATGGGGAGGCACAGAGAGAGGTAAGAGAAAGGAAGTATGATAAGACAGTAGAGACTAACTTTGCTCTGGGGCCTGTCACATTTTTGTGAGGAAGTTATTTATTATTATTAATTATTTTTTATTTTATTGAGGTCACATTGATTTATAACATTATATAAATTTCAAGTGTACATCATTATATTTCAACTTCTGTATAGACTGCATTGTGTTCGCGACCAAAAGTCTAGTTTCCATCTGTCACTTTATGGCCCTTTACCCCTTTCACCCTCCCCCCATCCCTTTCCCCTCTGGTAACCACCAATCTGTCCTCCGTATCTATATGTTTGTTTATCTGCTGCATATGAGTGAAGTCATATGGTAATTGTCTTTCTCCATCTGACTCATTTCACTTAGCATAATTAATATCCAAAATATATAAAGAACTCATACAGCTCAACAACAAAAAACAAACACTCAATCAAAAAATGGGCAGACGATCTGAACAGACCTTTTTCCAAAGAAGATATACAGATGGCCAACAGGCACATGAAAAGATGTTTAACATCACTAGTTGTTAGGGAAATGCAAATCAAAACTACAATGAGGTATCACCTCACGTCTCTCAGAATGGTTATTATTAAAAAGATGAGAAATAACAAGTGTTAGAGAGGATGTAGACAAAAAGGAACCATTATACACCGCTGGTGGGAATATAAATTGGTGCAGCCACTATGGAAAACAGTATGGAGATTTCTCAAAAAATTAAAAATAGAACTACCATATGATCCAGCTATTCCACTTTGGGTATTTATCCAAAGAATATGAAAACACTAATTCAAAAAGATATATGCACCTTTGTGTTCATTGCAGCATTATTCACAATAGCCAAGACTTGGAAGCAACTTATGTGGATGAATGAAGAGAGAAGATGTGGTATGTGTATATATATATATATATATATATATATATACACACACACACACAATGGAATACTACTCAGCCATAAAAAGATGAAATTGTGCCATTTGCGACAGCATGGATGGACCAGTTAGTTTTAAAATAGAGTAATTATAGAAAGGTGGGGAGATTTCCTGATGGTGGAGTTAAGAAATTATCACCCCTCTTTCTTTTGTTAGTTATCCCACAGCAAGGAGCACAGAAATGTAAATGCTGTCTTTGGTAAAACTAGGAAACAACTTATAACTAAGCTTTAATGTATTAAGATAGAGAGCTGATGGGAAAATGATAAATGACTTAACCCTGGAAGAAGAAGGTCAAACCTAAGTACCTCTAGAAGATGGAGGTATGGATGAGAAGTGTGCCAGTAATCAATTTATTATCTTTCAGCTCCAAGTCTACCTTTTTTGGTTCTGCTTTATTATATTGGAGTTGGACCTTTTACAAACATTTCTGTTTTGCCAGCTGGCTTGATGTTAGGCTTTGTCAATAGAGGCTTCTGGAGGGATACTGCAAGAACATAGCAGGAGAAAGGGGCTTCCCTTCCTGTCCCATGTGCAAGAGCTAGCAGATCAGCATGCAGGAGGCCCAGTAGCACTCACCTCGGCAGCCCTCAGTCAAGCAGCTCAAGCCTATACCTTCTGGCAAGTTTCTTCACCACCCCTGGTCTGCACATTCCTGTGACAGCTACTCCTTCTCCATAGAGGTCCAAATCTCAGTCCTGAGGGCAGGGAGGACCGTTTCCTGAGTTCCTGGTTCCTTCTTGATTTGTTCTCCTTCAGCCTAGAAGACATAGGCCGCATTTGCTGATTCCATTTTTCCATGTCCACATTTCTGGTATGGTTTCTATTTCCTGACTGGACACTGACTGATACAAGAAGTGAGATGATTTTCTCACAGAACTTTGGAAAGGCTCACAAATTGGAGATACCACATGTTATAGAAGACCTTGATGAGCCATAGGGTTGAAAATGGAGATTGTGTGAAAGTCTCTATCAGGAGGGGTTAGACCCCCAGACTCCTACCACCCTGCATTTTCAGGTGCCTCCTCCCCCATGGGAGACCAGAGGCATATTCATTAGAGAAACAGGATCAGAAAGGCTATGAACTCAGAGACCTCAGACATAGAGCAGGACAGGAATGAGGCACTGTGTTGAAAACAGAGGGATTAAATGAAAGTTGACTGAATGGTGAGACTAGTACTCTCATCCCCTACCACCACCACTAATGCCTGCCCAGTTCTCTCCTTCCCCACCTTCCACCAACTCTAGAATGCCAGAGAAAAGACTAACAGAGATTTGGAGAACCCTTACAAAAAAAAGTAGCTGCCTGGCTATAAAATTGCTTCCCAGTGAGCCCACGATACTCTATGCCCAATATTTGCAGACAGAGCTTTCAGTCAGTTGTTTATTGCCTTGTTCCTAAATATGACTGATAGCCTAGGATCTCCAGATATTTGAAATCTTCCAACTTGAAATCCAGGAACCAAAACTAAAACACACAAATAAAAAAATAAAGATGAAGAAATAGCCAGTTTAGGAAATGAGTGCTTATCATGACCACTAATAGTTGTTTCAGGTTTGAATTTACATTCATACTCACAGGATACAATAGGCTATAACCTGGCAGCAGGTTCACTTAGATTTGTAGAATGATACAAGACAGAAAACATAGCATGTCAGTATATTAGGTAGGTAGGACTCTTCATTCGAAGTTCTTACGGCCAACTGGATGCTACTTCCCAGCCCCCACGAGGAATGCATGAAATTGGAAGTGACAAGTTGACATAGGCACAACACAGGGAAGTCTCATACACAATAGGAACCATTTCTTGTATTGCACATGAGCATAGCTTCCAAGCCCTCTTAAGAGACACCACACCAGGCAGCTAGGCCTATGTATTCCACCAGTAGGTTTTTATACTCCACTCACAGTCTTCCATTATAGATGTTATTTACCAGTCAAGGGTCATACTTTTTTCAGTAAATAACATTGCTTAGTAATATAGCTTGACTTTCTCTTTGCATTTTGTGTGTGTATGTGTGAATGTGTGTGTGATCCAGTATATTTTCAGGGCAACAGTACTGGGAGAAGGTAAACCCAAGGTCATCTTCACATGGACAAAATGGTCAATCTGTTAACCATTTCTTCCCAATAGAAGACTTAAAGAAACCATTAATATTCTCAGAGAAAAGATATTACTCATGAAAGAAGAACAGAATTTCATTAAAACAACAAAACAAAATATTAGAAAATGAAAAAGAGCTTCTAGAAATCAAAAATATGGTACACAAAAAAAGAAAAAAAGATCAGTAGGAGAGTTGAAAACAAAGCTTAGGAAATCTCTATCAGAAGACAGAGCAAAAGCAAAAAGCCAAAGCGAAAACTAAGAGGGAAGAGATTTTTTTAATTAGAGGAGCAATCCAGGAAGGCTAACATCTGATCAAGAGGACTTCCAGAAAGAGAAAACAGAGATAAGGGAATTATTAAAATGTCCGTGAACTGAAAGACAGGAATCTCCAGTATGAAAAGGCCCATCCAGTACCCAATACCATGAATGAAAGAAGACCCAGACCATGGCACCTAAAAGGAGAAGACTCTAAAAACTTTTTACAGAAGAAAAACAGAGTACATATAAAGTGTTAGGTATCAGAGTGGCATCTGACTTCTCAGCAGCAGGACTGGAAGCAAGAAGATTTTGAAGTAATGCCTTTAAAAATTTGAATTGATTTCAAGCCTAGAATTCTATATGTAACCAACAGTCAATCAAATGTGAAGTTGGAGTAGACATGTTCAGACGTATGTGATCTAAAATATTTACTCTTACTCAGGGAGCCATTGGTAGAAGTGCTCCACAACAAGGTCATAAACAAAAAGAGCGAAATAGAGGACCCAGGAAACAGGGTTCCAACCTCAGAGAAGAAGAATTTTCAGAATGACAGTGAAGAGAATGCCAGGACAAAGCCTGTGCAACAGGACTGGAGCACAACAATCCCGACTGGAGAAAGAGGTTAGAGGGTTCCAGGATGAATGCCTAAAACACCAAAAGATGATTGGATCATCAAAAGATGATCTGACGCATTTGACCACATGGAAAATTGTATTGAGGTGGGTATTTTCAGAGTTGTTCAAGGGTGTAGGAAGAGGGAAATGGTTAGAGAAAATTGTGAAAAATGCTTTAATTATGAACTGCATGAAAAAAAGTACAAGAAAAGAAACATTTATAACATACTATGTGGCTCAGCAGTGAATAATACTTAAATAGTCATAATAATGCAAACTCTTAATATGGATTTAATCAAGAATTGATATATAATTATACTGAATGATGGAGGGAGGAAAAGAGAATATACATGAGCTGAAATCCTCATTTACCATAAAAAAATCAATAGATATCTGAAACTGGTGAATCAAAAATAGCAGTATACACTTGTTACTTGAAATTTGGAGATAAATACCAGAAAAAAAGCTGAAAGTGGTTGTCCCTGGATAGTAGGCTAGTTATGATTGTGTGTGTGTGTGCTGGGGAGGAGTGTATAAGATAGGGAATTGCTATTTTGTTGTTGTTGTAAATTTTTTAGCTGATTTGACTTCTTAAACTATTTGCTGCATGTAGAGACAGTATAGCATGATGGTTAGGTGATTAGATTCTGAAGCCAACTAACCTGGATTTAAATTTTTGCTCTGCCATTTACTGGCTCTGTGACCTCGGTCAAGTTTTCTTTTTTTTTTTTTTTTTTTTTTTTAAAGATTTTATTTATTCATGTTTTTCCCCCCAAAGCCCCAGTAGATAGTTGTATGTCGTAGGTTCACATCCTTCTAGTTGCTGTACGTGGGACTCGGCCTCGCGTTGGACGGAGAAGTGGTGCCTTGGGGCGCGCCCGGGATCCGAACCCGGGCCGCCAGCATCAGAGCGCACGCACTTAACCGCTAAGCCACGGAGCCGGCCCATCGGTCAAGTTTTCTTAACCTTGAGCTTTAGTTTCTTCATTTGTAAAATAGGGATAATAATATCTCATAGAAGTGCTGAGCAGATCAATAAGTTAAGATATAAGATATGAGTTGAATTGTATCCCCCAAAAAGATATGTTGAAATCCTAACCTCCAGTACCTGTGAATGTGGTCTTCTTTGGAAGTAGGGTCTTTGCAGATGCAATCAAGTTAAGATGATGTCTTACTGGAGTAGGGTGGGCCCTAAATCCAATATGACTAATGTCCTCATAAGAAGAGGATAAGAGACCCAGAAGAGAGACACACAAGGAGAGTGTCGTGTAACAATGGAGGCAGAGATTAGAGTGATTCACCTATAAGCCAAGGAACATCAAAGATTGCCAGCAATCCCAGAAGCTAAGAGAAAGGCATGGAACAGATTCTCCTCTAGAGCTTTCAGGGAGAGCATGGCCCTATTAACACCTTGATTCTGGACTTCTAGCCTCCAGGATTGTGTGGATAAATTCCTGTTGCTTTAAGCCACCCAGTTAGTGGTACTTTTTTTTTAATGGCAGCCCTAGGATACTAATATATATAAAGCATATAGATGGTACTTGGAACGTAGTAAGCAGTATGTAACTATTAAGCATTACTACTACAACTTTGATAAAAAATTAATTTTTAAAAAGTTATTTTTTAAGTGTTAGAAGTCCTATTAGTAGCAGTTTGTACAAAGCACTTTGGCTGTACAGAAGAGGAAGTGGCAGATTCTTCTCCTGGAAGTGGTGGGAAGTCTTCTCAGAGGTACTGCCATTTGAACTAGTGTGAAGGATTTTGCTAGGTCAAGAAGCAGGGAGAGGATAATGTATGAAAAGGTTGAGCCTGTGCGTGAGTGGGCCTAATTATGTCTTCTGTCTGTCTGAGGGGACCCGGAGCTGGTGTGGATTCATTCCTAGCCGATGGAGAATCAAAAGCCTGTGGCTAATTCTCAAGAAATTGCACTATGCCCACTAAGAGTATAGTTAGTCCTTCTCTTCCTGCAGTTATTAGAGTAGTTGTCTTTGCCTTCCCTGAAACATGTGGCCTGGAGATTTAATGATTCTGACTCCAAGATGCATGGTTTATCTGTGACCCCAGTCTGTCTGTGTGAGTATTGAGCTTACGGAGCAGTGAAATAGAAAATGGATGTTCAGAGTTCTGCTTATGCTCCTAATATGTCTTAGCATAAGAACAATTCTCGATTGTGATTACGGAACCTAATATTGAAATATTTGTTGTAAAGTCCCTTCTGTAGTATGAAGATTAAATTTATTAAAAAATCAATACATTATCATTAATTCTAACCATTTCAATGAAGGAAGAGTGTTTAAAATAAATAGAAGACAGTGGTTGACAATGGAAGAATAACATTAAATTTTTACCTCTGTAGTCGTTAAAAACTGGTGATATAAGCTGCACTGCTTTTTTGAAGTATAGATAAAAATCAGGTTTAGTTAAAAATTGAAATATAACATCAGTTATTTAAAATCAATGCAAAAATGAAATGTGTGTGCATGTTAAGCTGAATAACTGTCTTGTGAGGGACCTTAATAAATCACTAACTTAAATAATAATAGATAATCAGGGAAGATTAAAGCAATTTCCGTTTTTTAAAGGAGAAGGAAGTTTGGTTTTAGCAATTAGAATACTAACAAAACACTGAGGGAAATATTAATCAAAATATTTAATTACTTAGGGAATAAAAATAATGTGAATACTATGGGGTTGTTATATATTTAAAAAATAACAGACAAACATGATTCCTTTCCCTAGACATTACTAGATAAGTAGAGGAAGTCTAGAGAATAAATCTAATTTATTCTTATTTTAACAGAGCACTTGATAGTCTAATTTTACTTAAAAATTAAGTTGTTTTGGATATTTGCAGTGTTTAGTTGATTAAGAGCTGAGTGAAGTACAGTAACATAGAAAGCACAGATACAGAACTATATTGGTAATTTTAGACAATGATTCTAGAAGATAAAATTGGTAATTGCTACATTTACTGTGTGTGTTTTACGAAAGATTTGAATATTAATACTTCTTTACTCAAAAGGATAATTATCACTCCTTACTTTGCTAATTAGTCTATTACTTAAAAAGGCAAAATCAAGGACTATTTTAAAAACCAAGTTTTTTTTTTTAAAACAGTGGGCATCACTTATTGGTTAGAAGGCATCAAAGTAAAAACTTTTCTTAGGTAGGAAAAATTAAGGGAAAGAAAAATACTACTAAAAGTTCTACATTTGGAGAAATATTGTGTGTTTGTTTCTTTTCCCGTTCTATTATTAATTTTCTTAAAAGCTTTAATTTTTTCTACTCATATTTATTTCACATGAAAATAATAAATATTACATAGATATACTTGTAGTAAAAGAATCATGGTTGTTCTGCCCCTTAATTTTGGACTAATGCATTACCATTTAAAGGTTCAATAATGTCTTTTTCTTTTTTAGGTATTTAAGTGAAGCAAAGATTCAATGAAGCAAAGTTTTATATTGTGATTTTTATTTAAGCTGATTATTAGGTTAATAGGTAGATTAATATTAGATTAATAGGTAACAAAGTCTGAAATATATTTTAATTCTATGTGTGTTATTTTTCAGAAAGAATTCTTTGTAGAACTTGGCTTAACTACAGGACAACTGGGTATAGATGATTCTACACAAGTGCCTCCTGGTTAGTATTTCTCCCATATGGCATATAATTAATGATAAATGAGAGTAAGTTTGAGGTTTATCTTGTTGTTTCCAAATTAATGTAGTAACTTTTTTATACCTGAAAACTAAGCATGCTTTTTTGCCTCTCCTTGGTTAATATTAATTACTGAATAAAATCCTGTATGTGGTAATTATTAGAGTTCAACTAGATTTTGTCTTTTTCTTTGAAGGTCTTTAAAATAATTTTAAAAAGTCTTTAGACATACATAAGTCATTTTGTTGACAAAATCTTCATTGGTAGCACTCATATTTCCCTTTACTGGCCATCACTATCTATTTTTATTATTTTTCATATCCAAGTTAAGCAAACACTGACATTCTACCTTAAATAAATTTAGGCTTTAAAATTAGTGTCTTTTAGACCTTAATCATAGAGAAAATTTCCCTGAGAAATTTTTCTCTTTTTGTACATAAATACAATGTGCTTTTCTTAAAAGACCAGATTGGGATTTAGCTATAATAAAAAGGAAGTAAAAATTGGCTGAAGACGTGGGAAGTCTATATTGTAGTGGAAATAATACTAGACAGGAGTCAGGGAACTGTTCTAGTCTTTCCTCTGGCACTGGCTAGCTGTGTGACTTTGACAAGTCACTTGACTTCTCTGGATTTGTTTCTTCCTCTGTAAAATAAAGAAGTTGGCTATTTATTATCATTATTATTATTGCGATGGTACTACTTCTACTTCACATCATACAAGAAAATTGAAACCGTAATGCAATACCGCTATGTACCACCAGAATGACTAGAACAAAGATGGAATACACCAAGCCTTAGCAAGCATATAGAGCACCTCTACTCTCATACATTATTGGTGGAAGTGTAAACTGGTATTACTACTTTTGAAAATTCTTTGGCAGTTAATCTACTAAAGCTGAACTTATACAAATCCTAGGACCCAGAAATTGATAATAGTAATAATAATAATAATAAACAGTTATTGAGCATATACTGTGTTACATATATATTATCTCATTTTAATCTTTCAGCAACTCTAGAAGGTATATATTATTACCATTTTTTAAACTTTATTAATTTAAAATGCATGTAGAAAAGTATATATTTCATAAGAGAACAGCTTAGCTTTTATGAATTGGACACACTTATTAAAATACCATCTGGATCAATCAGCTGAAGCCCCTTCTTTCAGTCTTTATCCCCCATGTCAAAGATAATCACAATTCTGATTTCTAGCAGCATAGATTAGTTTTGCCAATTCTTGAACTTCAATGAATGGAAGAATGCAGTATATACTCTTTGATGTTTAACTTCTTTTGTTCCACATTATGTTTGTGAGATTTAGCTGTGTTGTTGTGTGTATTTGAGGATTATTTTTTTGCATTATAGTATTCCACTCTACTAATATACCACACATTTATTTATCCATTCTATTGTTGAAGTGTATTTGGGAAGTTTCAAGTTTGGGGCTATTAAAAATAAGGCTGCTATGAACATTCTAGTATGTGCCTTTTGGTGAACATATATATGCATACCCTTTTGTGGGGTATACACTTGGGAAAGCAGTTTCTCAGTCCTACAATTTGTATGAGTTCAGCTTTAGTAGACAACTGCCAAAGAATTTTCAAAAGTAGTAATACCGGTTTACACTTCTACCAACAATGTATGAGAGTAGTGGTTGCTCTATGTGCTTGCTAAGGCTTGGTGTATTCCATCTTCTTTGTTCTAGTCATTCTGGTGGTATATAGTGGTATTGCATTCCAGTTTTAATTTTCTTGTATGATGTGAAGTGGAAGTATTGCCACAATTTTAAAGCTGAAGAAGTGGAGACTTTAAGTAACTTGCCCTTGGGCCGGCCCTGTGGCTTGGTGGTTAAGTGCGTGCGCTGCGATGCTGGTGGCCCGGGTTCGGATCCCGGGTGCGCATCGAGGCACCACTTCTCCGTTCATCCTGAGGCCGAGTCCCACATACAGCAACTAGAAGGATGTGCAGCTACAACATACAACTACCCACTGGGGCTTTGGGGGGAAAAAATAAAATAAATAAAATCTTTAAAAAAAAAAAAAAAAAAAAATAAGTAACTTGCCCAAGATCACAAAGCTAGTACGTGGTAGAACCAAGATTCAAAACTAAGCAGTCTGCCTCCAAAGTCTGCTTTACTATGCTGACTCCTCTCTACCCTCTTTGATATTCTTTTATTTTATAAGACAGTATCAGATAGCTTATAGAATAAGATATTGCTATGGTTTGAATGTTTGTGTCTCCCTAAAATTCAGATGTTGAAGTCTTAATCCCCAAGGTGGTAGTATTAGGAGGTGGGGCCTTTGGAAAGTGATTAAGTCATAAGGGCGGAGCTCTCTTGAATGAGATTAGTGTCTTTGTAAAAGAGGCCTAACAGAGCTCCTTAGCCCTTCCACCGTGTGAGGACACAATGAAAAGTCGGCAGTCTGCAACTTGAAAGAGGGCCTTCAGCAGAACCAACCATATTGGCACCCTGATCTTGACTTCTAGCCTCCAGAACTGTGAGAAATAGATTTCAGTTGTTTATAAGCTACTCAGTCTGTGTGTATTTTGTTAAAGCAGCCTGAATGGACTAAGACAGATATCTTATGTTCATGGCCAGTGATAGCCATATATAACAAAAGGAAAAGGAAATAGTAACACAACCTTGAATGATATTTATGTTTTTCACTTTTGAAATAATCCTTAAGAATTATTTAAAATTATTCTAAACCTTAAGTAGCTGTGCTTTAGAAAGAGTAATTTTTTTCTTAATCTAGATTATAGTTCTTTCTTCTTTGATTTAGTTATAATACAATATATGTGTGTGAGACCCTGCTAAGGGCCAGGGACTAGCAAATACATAGATATGACATAATCTTTGGTCTTAGGGACGATATAGTAGAAAATAATGTAACAGAACTCAGTGGGTCTGTCTCTTGGTGAGTGCAGAGCCAAAAAGCACAACCAAGGCTGAAGTGGGTGAAGAAAAAGTTTTATTGCTTGCACAAGCAATAGAGAACGCTGAGAACAGCCCCCAAAGCAGTGCCGCCTGTCCCCAACCTCTGCTTAATGCTGGTGGAGACTTTATACTCCAGAGTGCAGAGGATATGTTACCACTGTGTAACAACTAGGCCTGATCAGGGTGCATGTACAGGCCATGACATAACGAGTTCAAGGCACCATTAAATGAGGAGTTCAGTGTAACATGCCATTACATAACAGGTTCAATGCAACATGCCTTTATATAAGAGGTCCATGGTAACTTTGGGACAGTTTGAGCGGGAGCAATTTGCAGGGGTCCTGCTGCACCCATGTAAGTTTCACTGTAGGATGGCAACCTCTGCAAAAAGGAGGACATCAACTTCTGAAAAACAGCACATTTAGTTTTCTCCTTGTCTGGAAAACATTTGACAGACGATGTTTAGTTATGGATCAGATTTTCAGTAACCCTTTCCTTGCCTGGTTTCTGGCCACAATAAGATTCAGATAAGAATTATTGTGGTACTTGCTGTTATATACAAGGGGCATTTGGAACAGAGGAAAGAATACCTAAGTCTGCCTGAAGAAGGTTGATAATCTCTTTAGTTAATGCAATTATTTTTGCTCTCTCTCTTTCTCAAAACAGTACTGCTAAAAATTGGGTTAATTGGTGTTCATCCAATGAGATTGTTTTTAGTGGTATAGTACTTGGATTTTTGCCTGAGTTGAGAATTATACTGTCATTTTGCCTGACTAGTCAGCAGTATTACTTGGAAAGAAGATTGGGATCATATGTAACTACTTTCACTTAGAATTCACTTTATTTTTACTTTTTTAGTCTATATCTATGTCTTTGGTTAAATTGGAAATGTAATGCTTAATGTTTGAAAATGTTGCTAATACCTGTGTTTGGCTAGAGGCAAGTTTTATATTTAGGTTTAAGTTTAAGTGTGATTTAGAGGAACTATATCCTTCTTACTCATCTTTAAAAACCTGTGTTACCTATGTTTTATCAATACTATTCTTCAATGTTTATATTTGAAGTGCATTCCTCACTAACTTAGCTGTTATATAAAAGTCAGGAGAAAAGTCCTTACCTTTGTAATGATATAAGAAATTTTTACATATTAAAGTATATGGGGACTCCATTCTGTATTAAAGTTGATTTGGCCTAAAATTTTGTGAACAAAAGAAGCCTGATTTATGACCTGTCAAACATACATTGTACATCTGCTTTAATTATTATCTTAAAGTAAAGAATGTACTCCCTGAGAATAAGAATTGATGCCTCCCTTCTTGTGACACCAGATAAGTCTCCCTTCCCATGATCCCAGGGTCATGTTGACCTGCTGTGTACATGCTAACCTGTAACAAAATATCTCCTTGAACCCTTGAAAGAACATACCCCTGTCATGCTTGATGTATATCTCTTTGTTTGGAAATGGTATATAACTGTGCTGAAAAACGCTCTGCTCTAGAGCGCTTTCTTCCTTTGCGAAGGCTGTGGCTCCTGGGCTATTGTCCTCAGCTTGGCTAAAATAAAACTCTCTATCCTTTTCTTTTGTGATAGAATGGTTATTGATTATTTGCGTCGACAATAATATAGAATCCTTATTTAAGAATAAAAAAAATTAGGATTATTCATTATTCCTACAAACTCATGAATACACATTTAGTTTAAATAAACACACACATACATACTTACTATGGAAACCATTTATAAGACCCATGCTAAAAGGGTGAGCAGGATCAGCATTCTTTTATAAGGCTTGATGATAAAGAGGGGCTTATATGTCTGATATTATTGTTTGAATATACATAATAATGAATCTTATTAGATGGGGCTTCTGCTAAATAGACATCTTTTACAGCTTGTTATTATTTATTTATTAGTTTTGGTGAGGAAGATTAGCCCTGAGCTAACATCTGTTGCCAATCCTCCTCTTTTTGCTGAGGAGGATTAGCCCTTGGCTAACACCCATGCCCATCCTCCTCCACTTTACATGTGGGATGCGTGCCACAGCATGGCTTGATGAGTGGTATGCAGGTCCGCTCCTGGGATCTGAACCTGCGAACCCTGGGCTGCCCAAGCAGAGTGCACAAACTTAACCACTATGCCACAGGGCCGGCCCCTGTTATTTCTAAAAGAAAAAAGCACTTCAGTTGGTGTAGCATTTCCTGAAGTGTGTTCCATGAAGCAATCATCAGATGCCCTGTGAAAAAGGATCTTGTTGTCAAATAAGGTTTGGGAAAGGCTGTGCCATACCTTTGTAAGATATACAGTGTGTGTTACTATCTTAAAGACTATGAGAAATCCTAAGGAAACTTTTTGCTCAGCATCTCCCAAATTTATTTTACCAGAGAGCTTTTTTCCAAGCAAGATCTATTAATTTAGATGCATCTATTAACTTAATGGTCCTCAGAGCATTCTTTGAGAAACACAGAGTATAGATTGGAAATTGTTCTGACTTCTTTGGGCTTCTTACTCTTGTACTAGGAAATAGCACTTAGAAAGCAAAAGCTGTTGCATGATAATTATACCTCAATTTAAAAAAAAAAAGAAAGAAAAATTATTGTATTTCACATAATTGAGTAGGTAAATTTTGTAAAGAAGTCTTTTTTTTTTATTTCATACTACTTTCAGTGATAAAGCACTATTATCACTCAGTAGTATCATCCACTTTTATAAGAGACAAGAATTGGCTGACAACTTTTAATTCTTTGGTTACTAAGTCTCGACAGTCATAGCTAATTAAAATGAAACTGGTATTATTGTTTTATATGCAGTCTTGAAATAAATATATTCAAATACTTTAGTGATAGAAAATGATTGTATGTTGGCAGGGCCCCCAAACACTTTACTTTGTCATTGTATAATCTGCTCAACTAATTACTTCAGAGCTATTAGGAACAGAATAAACTAAAAGAATAGGACACTCTACTTCAAATATTCAAACATGTAAGAGCAGCTTTATGGATAGTTTTTTAAATCTAAAAAGATTATCTAACACTGAAATTATTAATAAATGGAAAATAAAAGTATAGTACCATTTTCTATTTAGCTGGGCTAAACCTGGACATCACAGAACAAGCTTCCTAGAAAACTGTGTTAAAATCTTAGCCCAGAACAGATCTCCCTCTCCCTCTATGCCCAGATCTCACCATTAGCAGGCCACTGAGTTTGGATAAGAACTCCAAAGTGCCTGAGCATGAGCATTCTGCTCAAAAGAGAATCAAGTGCCAAGATGGCCACTAGGTGCCAGGGGACCCAGGCGCTAATTACCCAGAGAGTCACAGGTAACTTCATGACCTTTAACACACAGTTATCCGATTCTTTAGAAAAGGTTAACTAATCACTGTTGGAGAATCTAACAAATCCAGTGTGCACCACCTCCTTTCTCAGGTGGTAGGGAGAAAGAGGGGAAAACGAAGTTGAGAAACTGGTTTTCTCTGGGATGGGGAGAACAGTTAAAAGTTCTCCTCCTCATGGTTTCATAATCTTTTTTTGTTTGTTTTGCTCTAATTTTCAAATCACTTTTATAGAAGTATAACATACATACCGAAAAGGCTACAAATCATAAGTATATACAGATCAATGAATTTTTACAAAGTGACGCACTTGTGTAACCTCCAACCAGATCAAGAGATAGAATATTACCAGCGTTCTGGAAACCTCCTAAGGCACACTTCCAGATTCCACCACCCCCACGGGTAACAACTATCCTGACTTCTAACATCGTAGGCTAATTTTGCCTATTTTTGTACTTTATAGATATAGAATCATACAGTATGTACTCTCTTGTGTCTAGCTTCTTTTGCTTAATGTTTGCGAGATCCATATTGTGTGTAGTTATGAATCATTCATTCTCATTGCTGTATTGTAATCCGTTGTATAAATATTCCACTGTTTATCCATTCTGCTATTGATGATCATTTGAGTTGTTTCCACTATTTTGTTCTTATCAATAGCACTACTATGAATATTCTTGTATATGTCTCTTTGTGCATATATGTACATATTAGATATATGTACTTGAGAATGAATTATTAATTGTCGTAGGATGTGCATGTATTCAGTGTTAGTAAATGTTGCCAAACAGCTTGCCAAGGTAGCTGTACTAATGTACACTCCCACCACCTTTGGATGAGAAGTTCATTTGCTCTGTTTCCTTTGCATTTAGAATTGTTAGTCTTTTTCATTTTAGCCATTGTGGTGGATGTGTATTTTATAATGGTTTTAATTGCATTTCTCTGATGACTGGGTGGGGTTAGCACCTTTTCATATGTTTATTGGTCCTTTGGATTTCCTCTTTTGTAAAAAACCTATTCAAATCTTTTGCCTATTTGTGTCAGTTAGTTGTCTGTCTTTTTCTTATTGACTTACCAGAAGTTCTTTATATATTCTGGATACATGTCCTTTACTGGGTATACATATTGCAAATATATTCTGCCACTCTGTGACTTACCTTTTCACTCTCCATGGTGTCTTTTGATGAACAGAAATTTTTTTATTTTAATGTGGTCTAGTTTAGGAGTCTTTTTCATTATGATTGGTACTTTAAAAACAAATCTTTGCTTCTCTCATACAATCTTTTTAAATGGCATTTGTATAGTGGGATTTTACCTATATAGTATTAAGGCTTTTATTAGATATGCTTTAATGGTAGATTAATGTAGAAGTAGGGCTTTGCAAATGAAGCTGTCAACAAGTTTTGGATTTTTTTTTTCTTAAGAAAAAAATCAGGGGCCGGCCTGGTGGCACAAGCGGTTAAGTGCGGGCGCTCCGCTGCAGCGCCCCGGGGTTCGCCAGTTCGGATCCCGGGTGCGCACCAATGCACTGCTTGGCAAGCCATGCTGTGGTGGCATCCCATATAAAGTGGAGGAAGATGGGCACGGATGTTAGCCCAGGGCCAATCTTCCTCAGCCAAAAAAAAGAGGAGGATTGGCAGATGTTAGCACAGGGCTGATCTCCTCACAAAAAAAAAAAAAAAAAAAATCAAAGATGAATGGATAGAAACATTTTTGTGTTGTAAGAAGATATTCTATTTTAACAAAGCAAAATTGGTTTATCAGTTTTTTCTTCTAATTAAATGTACTTAAATCCTTTTTAATTTCTACAAACTTTAAACAACAGAAAAAGATTTTTTTACATATAAACATACATATTCTTATAGTTTTCTATAGAGCCATTCAGATTTAAAAATAATTAAAAGTATCAATACCAGCAAAAGTATACCTAATATTGTTCTAAATGTGGCTGATCATATTTGTGTCTAATAATTTTATTTTATCATTTTTAGAACTTTTTGAAAATGAACATGTACGAATTGGGCAAAAAGGTAAGATTTTGATTACATTTATTATAATTTATTTTGATGATTATAATTTCTGAAAACGAGACGGTCCTAAGTAAATGTCTGCATCATGTACCCTAACTGAGGATTAGTCTCTGAAAATCTAAAAACCTAAGAAGCAGTATATTTAACTACGTAGACAATATAATGGGAATCTTTTTAAAAAGAGGAAATGCATCATTTTGACTTTATCAATAAATGTGAGATAAAGAGGTACACAGATGGTTCACTGAAAAGGAAATAATAAATGCAGACACACATTCCTCAAGGATATTAGCTTAATCCATTCAGCAGTAGAATTTCATTTTAAAATCAAAGAGGCAGGTTCTCTCTTTGATGCACCCACACACTTCTCATTAATGTTAATGGGAGTGTGCTCCTGCATCAGGAGAAGATATAACTGTCATACTTCCCGATGACTGTTCACAATGGTAAGACTTAATAACCGAAGCCGGTCTTAGTATTCTGGGGAATCATTTTTCCCTATCTTTTGGAGATTCTTTTCCTTGTTTTATGAGTCCTATTTATCTTTGAAACATGAATTGCAGATGAGTCTTTGGGTTAGAATGAAACTTCTATGACAATTATATTATTATGTTCTAAACTCCCTAGTTCAATTTTTCAAAATCATATTTATTTAAAAGACTTCATTTGTATGATATGACATTTTCATTAAACACAATTGCAAATTAAAGAATATGTTTCATCTCTTTTATTTGATATGATCTCTTTGTTTCTTTTGGTCTTGAAAGAAGAAAATATAAGAAAACAGTACTGTTAGACAAATATCAGCAGTTGTCTAGTATGTCTTTTTTTCTTTTTCATTTTTGTTTGTTTGAGGGGAGGCTTTATTTCCAGATTTAATAACTGGCATTTTCATTACAGAAAATAAAAATGAAAATGAAAGCAAAAGGATAATATGTTAATTTTGTGAACTTAGCTGCTTACAAATAATATTGGGCCTTCTTAAAGAGTTATCAGATCTTTTTTGTTTTTACTTCTGAAAAAAATCCCTCTTTTCTGTTGATTTTGACAGATAGCTAAGAAGTCATCTAATAGGGTAGATATCTTATCTCATGTATAATTCTTAGCCATAATACTTCAAATTCCATACTACTTCCAAATACTACAACATTCATGACTTAGTATAATATGCATAAGAAATTTAGGTTTCTGTTGATATGACTTTACTTGATCATGGAATCCAAAAATTAATATATATATGCATCACTAGTTTCAGATCCGTGGAGCTATAGTTAGAGCAAAGTGATCTCAAGGTACCTACATTAAAAACTTTTAGCAAGTAGGGTAGGAGGTGGAGGAGGTTAGGCTTGAAACTTAATAGGACTGTAAATAGGGCCACATCAAAATTCAGAGAGTAAAAGAAGGTTGTCAAGACATGATGTACTTATGTTAGATATAAAGATGAAATGTTAGCTTCCTAAAGATTTTAGTTAAAGATTTCAGTGTTATTTCTTACATTATGAATTTTCTAATGAGATTTTAATATACTTTTGACAGTTCTAGCAGAACAAGATAGTGCTGCTGCTCAACAGTATGTCAGACAAGGAAGTCCCACAGCTCTGAGAGCTGAATTATGGGCTCTCATTTTGAATATTTCCAGTCAACCTGAGGTAAGAAGAAAAAAGGATGGGCCAAATTTGAGCTATTGATATTTATTTTTCAAAGATAAGTTATTCAAAATAGAAATACTTTTGTTTCTTAGTCCAATATTTATCCCTTTTTGTATTTTCAAACTCACTGTAATTTTGAGTTCTAAGACAAGACTAACATAATTGAATCACTGTGCTCAACACAGAAGTTTTTGTTATTAACAATTATTTGGATGGTGTGAACTTATACCTACAACAGAACAATAAGTAAAATTTGAAGAAATGGAGTCTGCCAGTTTAGATCAGTGAAGATATATGGTAGAATTGGAGTATTAGAATAGGGGGAAATAGAGACGCGCAACTCAGTATACGTAAATGAGTACATTGTCACCACAGTTACTTTTGAAATATGCACTATTTTTATGGTTCTAAAAATTGACAGATTTTGTAGGAATATTATTTTTCTAAGTATAAGAACATTTTATTTTAAGAAGTATAAGTGAATATGAAGAAAAATCACCAACAGATAGGTAATAGATTCAATAAAGAAAAATTATGTAAGACATTGATTCTTTTTGCAATATTCTTAGTGGGTATTTTTTTTTTTTTTTGCTTAAGCCCATTGATCATATAAGTCATCTATTTAAAGATTTTAATAAATAGCAAACTGATAGTTCCCTAGCCTAGTGGTTAAAAGCATGGGTTTTGGAATCATATAGACCTGGTTTCAATTCCTAGCTCCCCCAACTTATTTGAAATATGTCGTTGAGTTAAGTTTCTTCAAACCTCAATTTACCCATACTTAAATAGAGATAATATTTATATCACAGAGTTGTTGTGAGAATTAAATGAAATAATGTATGTGAGTCTTTTAACACAGTGCCTGACATAAATGGTCACCATTAATGGTAGTAATAATAATAATTACATATTAGATATAATTATGTTATAGATTAATTATAATTTTTAATAATACAGTTTTAAAGAAAATCAAACATTATTAATATCTATTATAAAAACCGTACCTCTAACTTTTGCAAGTTATGTATGCATGCGTGTGTGTGTGTGTGTTTGTGTATTTTAAATCTCCCTCTGTGAACAGCACTGTCAAAAATCACTTGCTTTCTTTTTGAAAGAATAAAACTTGTGATTTATTTCAGAGCAGTTTTAGAAGTAACAGTTTATACCCATTTCAACACCAAATTTAGAATTTCTCCAGAAGTATCATTTTAGAATAAAAGTAGTAATCCCAGATAATGATTGTTTTTTATAATGTTCAAAGGCAGTTTTTACGCTTGAATTTTGGAACTAATAGCCATCTTAATTTTCTAAATGCAAAATGACAAGTTTGTAAATAGAAATTAATATTTTCAGAAAATCAATCTTGATTTTATTGAATAAAACATTTTCCATCACTTACACTTATTTTTAGCTGTAAAATTATGACCTCAATGAACTATAGCAGTTCCAAAATAATTGTTGCAAGTGGTACATTAGAGGGAGGGTGGCAGAGAGGAAGAGAGGGAGAAACTTAATTCTTATCAAGAATACTTTATCAGAACTTTTTGTTCAATTACTTTTCTGTTACTTAAAAGAAGCTATACATTCAAATGCATCATAGTTGAGGAGTTAGAGAAATAAATGGAATATTTCACATTTTACACCCATAAAGCTATTTTTCAAAATCTTATCTCAATAGAAAGACTTTGGGTATAGTGCTTTAAGTTCCTAATAGTTCATTTATTTAGTATTTTTACTAGAAATTATTTAACTTTGATTTTTTTCCTCTTTTTAAGAAAAGATGTGGTAAGTTTAAAAGGATTGCTTTTATGTATTTTCTACAAATCTCTAGGTGCGCATCAAAATATTCATATTTAGGAAACATTATTCATATTTTAAAATTTTTTGCTTAATTTCAGCTAATTAAAGGAAGACAGAAATCTTTCCTATACTTTGCTCTAGGTACTTGCTTACTGATAAAATTGCCAAGACCACTTTTAACTTTTAAGATTTTCATTAGTGATTTTATAATCAAGTTCTCTGCGACCTTACCTAGGTCCACAACAATGCCTGACCTTCCTCGAATTTCGTGGTCAGCTCGCCTAGTCTTTACAGTACCTGTTTCTTACCTTCAGTCTCCTCAACCACTTCTTTTCAGTCTTAGCAAAAGACCGCCGCTTCTCCTGCCCAGAGAAAACAAATCATCATGAGAAGCTCATTCAGATTCGTTACACCAAGCCTCTAAACTTAATTGCATCAGCACCTGTTCTTGCTTTCTCTACTTTTACAGCTACACCTTCTGAAAGAAAAGTCTCTGGTAGATGCTCCTGCTTCCTTAGTCTCGTTAATTACTCAGTCTACCATAGTCTGGCATACACGCCACTGTATGACTATAACTGCCCTACCTAAACTCACAAAGGAACAGTGGACACATTTTAGTGTTTATATCTTCTGCATATGATCCTATCGCCTAGTCTGTCCTTGAAATATTCTTAGTCTTTAATTTAGTTCACCCTGTTTTCTTAGTTGTTCTTTCTTTCTTTTTCCTTTTTTTTTTGGTTTCCATTTGGGTTTCTCTGCTGGACCTGAAGTGCTTGTATTTCCCAGAATTCCATTTTGATCCTCTTTTCATTCTGTAAGTTTTCCCTGGACCGTCTCGTCCACAAGTTACCTATTCCCTAATGGCTTCCACTCTGTTTTCAACCAAACTTTCTCTTAAGCCTAAAACTTTTATTTCCAGTTGCCTACAGAACTGCAAGATGTGTTCTAACAGTATATCAGATGCGTGATATCTAAAAGAAAAGGCATAATCTTTAGCTCCGTGTGTTTGTGGTCCTCTGAGAGATGATATATTGTCTCTCTCTGCACCATACTGTTGTCTCCCTGAAAAGGCCGCCTCAGACTTGTGTCTGCTTGGAGACTCCTGCTCTTCTTTCAGACGCAGCTTGCTTCATCCTGTTTTCTGAGAAGCCTTTCTAACATTATCTGCTGTACCTTGTCTTCTCCCAACTCCATCACCACTGCACTTAGATACTTCCTTCTCTCTTGTCCCGTCATACCCAGGACAGGAGCTATGGCCTAAAGACAGAGACACCTATACCATACTTCTTACACCATTTGACTGCCTTCCTTTCTAGATTGAGTACCTGAGGAAAGGGAGTGTTTTCTTCTTCACCGTCTGTAATGTCAGTATCTTGTATAGTTTCTAGAAATGGTAGGCTCATCTAAATGTTTAATGAACAATTAACTATAAAATGTTAGGAATGTTCTGTGAGTTCTTTCGTTTCCTGAGAGTATATCTTCTTTTTTCTTTAGTTAAAGAGATAGTGTAAGTCTGCATAAAATACCAAACAAATATATGTACTAAAATTTAAATATTCTCTGATGCTAAAAATTCAGGCTTTGTTTTTCAGAGATTGCTTTTTATAATCATAATTCATTACTCATAAATATCTATATCACCAGAAAGCTCAAATACTTATACAAAATACTCTCTTAAAATATCATGTTATGTTATTGGTAATTGTTGAATTTTATAAATGCTTATGTATTTTATAGGACTAAATTAAAATATTAATATAAAAATTGTTCCTTATCACTATAACATTATGTTATAATTTTGACTCTCATATCCCTGTTTTTCCTTCATTTTATATAGATAAATTACACTAAAAACTATTGAAACCAGACACTACAGACTGGGAATTAGGAGGACTAGTTCAGTCAATAGCTAGTTCTGTCATTTTGGCTAAGACAGTTACTTGACCAAATCTCATTTTCTTAATGTGCAAATAAGGAAAGTAGACTAGATATTTCCAAGGTCCCTTCTAGGTCTCAAATTCTCTGATATGTTTTTCTTTTTTTCTGTAGAATTAAAAGTAGATTTTTGTCAGATGTCTACAGTTATAGACGTTAAATTATTCACAGCATTTTGAAGATGTATTTCTTTATGGAAGCATACTGCACTAAAATTGGAATTTTAATGACTTGCTTTTATTAAAGTATTTATTAGTTTTCTAGCATTGGTCATGAAGGATGTTTATTATTAATTAATAATAATAAGCATTACAAATGCAGTTACAAACAAATTATTATTTAGAATGGCAATTAAAATGAAATTCCCTGTGGGAATTTATGAATTGTAGGTAATAACGCAGATATGAATACATGTTTGCAGTATATTACCTAAAGAAATATTTCCTTTAGTTGATTCTACTTCACTTTTTTATGTTAATATAAATGTAAAGCAAAAATTTTTTAAATAACAAATTAGAATAAATAATAAAATCATGCAAACTGTTCCAAAGCAGTATTTTTTAATTAAGACTTTATTTTTTTTGAGCAGTTTTAGGTTCACAGCAAAATTGAGAGAAGGTACAGAGATCTCTCATATACCCCCTGCCCCCACACATGCATAACCTCCCCAGTTATCAACATCCCCCACCAGAGTGGTGCATTTGTTACAACTGATGAATCTACATTGACACATCATAATCCCCCAAAGTCTGATGTTCACCTTAGGGTTCATCTTGCTGTTGTACATTCTGTCGGTTTAGACAAATGTATAATGACAGGTATCTATCGTTATAGTATCATACAGAGTATTTTCCCTGCCCTAAAAATCTTGTGTGTTTCACCTATTCATCTCTTCCCCATCCCCCCACCACGTGGCAACGACTGATCTTTTTACTCTCTCCATAGTTTTGCCTTTTCCAGAATGTCGTATAGCTGGAATCATATATTATGTAGCCTTTTCAGATTGGCTTCTCTCACTTAGTAGTATGCATTTAAGGTTCCTCCGTGTCTTTTCATGGCTTGACAGCTTGTTTCTTTTTATCACTGAATAATATTCCATTGTCTGGATGTACCACTGTTTATCTGTTCACCTACTGAAGGACATCATGATTGCTTTCAAGTTTTGGCAATTATGAATAAAGCTGCTGTAAACATCTGCATGCAGGTTTTTCTGTGGACATTAGTTTTCAACTCCTTTGGGTAAATACCAAGGAGTGCAATTGCTG